ACTAAAAATAACATTGTACTTCTGTCAATTTGCCTTGTTAGACCTACTAATACCCAACCTTCTCCTCCCTATCATCATATTAACACTTACGCAGGTCACAGCACACTCCACACTTATTGGCACCCATGGTAAAGGTATTAAAATGCCTTGAATTTACTTTTTTCCCCCCCTCTCACAAGAGCATTGTGTCCCACAGGAAAGCTTTTCAAAATCCACCACTTAATTTAAGCACATGGTTTTTTTTGGCACACATCAAGAGATGTCCAACACTTACTGCAACTTTTCTATAACTTTGTGGGGATAATTAGGCTGTGGTTGGCTGATGCTAAGTGAGGTAATTCTAACTGAATGATCTGATTCACCTGTTTAACTTGTTTCAGCGTTTTCAGCTTTTTTTGGACCGCCACCATTGTGCATGAGTGTTTTGCTTGTAATCAACAGCATGTTAAAGTAACGCGTGGCGTTTCGCTGGACGCCTTTAAACAACTTTCTACCGCCTTAAAGGCATCAGAACAACAGCTGAGCAGAGACAGAACTTCCTGCATACCTTCAGAATAAGAGTTTGATACATTGGTAACATTTTTTTCCATTTTCTACACTCAGGTTTTACAAATAAGAGGAGTTTATAAAAACGATTTGACAAACTCACACTTTTCGAACTTTTCAGAAACTCTAACGTAATTTTTAACAGTTTAAACAAAACTAGGATCTCTTCGGCATACAGTTTTACCAAGACTTTTCTTGACAGACAACCAGCACAAGCCACTACAGCAGCAGAGGGATTTTTGCCCTTGACCCAATAAAATTTTGGTCGTTTGTTCTTTTAAAAGCATCTGCTCTGTGCTGATCACTAAGTGAGGAGCTGAATTTTACGTTTTGGTGAAGCTGCCCTTGAACTTTAAAAATATTATTGTGCCAAATTGACAATTGTATCTGCTTCAACCCTTTTGGCATCGCCGGATAGAAATACAGCTCAGAGATTTTTTTGAAAACTACTGAAAATCCAATGTAGATACTTCTCAAACTAGGATTATCTCTAAACACATACAAAAACAATAAAGCAACTATAAGTACAGATTAAAAAAAAAAAACCCTCTTACCTGCAAAGTCATATTTCCCCTATAGTCCTTAAAAATCCAAATTGCAATAATGGTGTGTATCCATAAAAAAGGCTTCTCCTCTTGTTATCATTCCCTCTACTGAGCATAAACACATGTGATTTCCCACAATGATCCTACAACGGGAGGTAAGCCTGGCACAGCCTGCCTGATATGCAAAAGCACTCATCAGACCAGCGGAGCGACCATCAGTTATTCAGCAACCAGGCAGCACAGTGGAAAACAGGCGACTGGATGCAAATGACCGCGAGGGTTCGGGCTTTGTTACAAACCTGGAGCAGAGGCCGCATTGACAGGATATGCAAATATTGGTCGGAAAATACAAACATGCTAAGACAAATGACCAAAAAGGGAGCCACCAAGGCTGCAGCATGGGTATTTTTGTTTGGTTTTCCACAGAATTCAGATCTACCCCAAAACAAGATTTTAGATTAGCTTGAAATGTAATGGAAATTTTAATTTCCCTACTTGCCTTTTTTTTTTTTTTAAGCAATAAATGTGTAGGCTGGTTTTATCCTCGTTTGGTGAAATCAGCTGACTTTGAGTTAAATGTTTGCTGCTTTAGAACTTGTTAATTTTTTTTTTATTTAGTCTGACATAATACATTAACTACTTTTAGTACAAATCAGAAAACCTTTAATATTTCTTAATGCGTTTCTTTAAAATACCTATTAGGAAATATTGGTGGCAACACACCTAAAGTGAATTACAAAAGTATTCACACAACTTGAACTTTTCTCAATAGCTTACAACTATTAACTCCAATGTAAGGGTTGTTTATCATTTATTGTGATACATTTTTAATCACCATAAGATTTTGATTTTATCGTTCTCGCGATAAATTACAATTAATGATGTTTAAAAAAACCCTAAAACTAAAAACACATTTTTACTATTTTTATCCACTGTTTGTTGAATAGATGTGTATCAACACATGTATGGTAATTATGTCTCTACTAGCTTTTGCCCGTTACGTCTTTTCTTTGTTTCTTGGCCATGCAAACTAATCTTAGCTGAAACTGTTGAAAATTTAATTTGTAAACAAATTTACTCGCAGCAAAGAAACCTACAAAAAATGTGGAGGAAGTTGTGTTTGTTCTTCTGAGGAAAGTTTGTCACCCTGCAGCCTCTCTATAAGCTCTAGGTCTGGGGTTGGACTAGGCCGAACACTTTCCACTTTCAGTTCTGATCTTTTTCTACGTTCCCTCTGGCCTTCATGTCTTTTCACCAGAACAAAGGTTTCCGCCTCAAACACCAGAAAATGCCTGGGCGTTTTTTCTTTTTTTTTTTTTCTTTTTTAAACAATTGGACTGTTTTTAGAAGCAGTAAAAACCCAAACGGAAGTAGAAAAACGTGCAAAACATGACATTTGCATAACAGGTCTCCTTTACTGTGGACGTAAAGCCAGGGAAGTTCAAAGGAAACATGCAAAAGAGTTACCAAAGTATCTGAAACAAAAGCACAACAATACCGAAGTTCGCCTGCGCGGAGCGGCGGCCGAGACAAAGAGAAACACTTACCATGAATTAATGAGTTCCTAAACACAGGTCAGACAAAGCGGTCATGGCGTGAGGTAATAGGTTGCCGGGTGATAGCAAGCTGGTTGACAAAGTGACTGACTGGTGGAGTGTCTCGGTGTCCGCTCGGCAAGCGTGCTGGCTGTTGGGCTCGCGGGAGCGGTGGGACGAGGCGCGGAGGTACTTGTCACCACGGAGAGGAGGAGAGGTTACTGGTGTCACCATCCCTGACCGAGGAGCACAGGAGGGGAATGCGAGAGACGAGGTGAGGTGTGACGACCCTTCTCGCTTGCTTCCCAGCACGTCGGCCTCCTCGGACCTCAACAAAATGGATCCTTCCTTGACTTGAGAGAGCAGCGAATGTGCGGCATCTGAAGAACAGCGGGTGGAGGAGGGTTAGTTCGACTTGTTTTAAACTAATAAGATGCAGGATCCAGATTTAGTGGAGCTGAGTCTATTTTTCTCAAATGAATATGATGAACACAGAAATCTAAATCCATCTTAATAAACTCCTTTTTTTAAATGACATTTATGATCTCTGTTATGTTATGCAGTTGCAATCTTGTTGGGTTAGGTGCTGAAATGATTTACAGACCAATGTGTCAATTTACAAAGAGAAAACAAGATGAGCCTCTGGTCAGATTGCAAAAAGCTAAATACTTTATGGTCACAAGTTATTAGCATGTGGGGAAACAATTATCTTGTGGCCATGCCTTAATACTGTGTGTTCACGAGATACAAATACTCAAGTCTTCACTGATCAGGAGAAGGAAATAAAGTTCCATATTTAGCATTTCGCAGCAGAAAGCCACAAGAAGTGCGCTTGCACTATTATTTCGCTGAAAACGGGGTGGTCCTGAGGATGGAGGAGCAGAGAGTGTTTTACTGATCAATGCTGTTAGCTGCTAGTCTGTCCGCTGCAACACCTCCGATCTATAACCATCATCCTAAAAGTGAGGGTCTCACCCTTTTTTGTCATCACGGGCTGCCGTACTCGTAATCACGTAATTTCATTCCGTGTTCACCTAAAGTGGTTGTCTGAACGACAAAGAAAATAAAAGTACTCATGGGAACCAGGTTAAAAGTTGGGGAGAGGAAGACAAAGTTTTAAAGTGACTAACTGCGATTCCTGGAGTTTGACTTTTTTTTTTTTTTAATCAGGAATCGGCAGAGATTGTTTGTAGGATTTCCCCGATTTCTCTCTGGGTGAAGTTGCCAGCTGTCAGTCGGCTGCTTTAGAAAACTGAAGGAAGAGGAAACCCGGAGAAGTTTTCCCCATTTTAAAAAGCAGGAAGTCATCAGTTTTGGAAACAGTATTAGATTCTTAGGAGTATGACAACCTCAAAATAAACCAACTTCTCTGTTATTAATATAACATTTTGCAACCAATAACTATGATAATTCCTCCTACTGATGAAATAAAAAGAAATCTTAATCATGACATGTGTAATGACGTAAGCAAAGCATTTATTTACTGCTACTGTAATTTTGATACAAAATCTTAAGTAAACATTGGCTACAAAACAGACCACCACTCGTAACTAACCAACCGTTTTAGTCAGCATTACTCAGTGTGACAAATGTTGCTTCTTTTAACTCTAATAATATGAATTTCTGCAACTAGAAATAAGCCCAATACGGCAATATTTTTGTCTTCTACATGAGTGAAAACAGCAAGAACCTTATTTCAGCCAGCTGACCAGCCGTGGATCCGACCCAATTTGAGACAGTAATTATTTAAAACGCTGCTACACATAATGCTGGTAATCAATCAAAAGCACTGCGATCCTCCACAAAAATCAAACTTTTACTGGATGAGAGAAATGCATAGCAGTGACGTGGCACCGTACTCGCTTTCTGATTGCGGGAAAAACAAGTCAGTTGCTTTACAAAACCGTGTACAGACTTTTTTTTATTCAACGTGAGAGAGACCAGGTCACTGTCCACTGTGAGGAAGATGGCAACTGCTCCTAACCTCACCACAGCATCCCACTTTAGAGAACGCTGAACTGTCCCTTTAAGAAAGGTTTTCCAAAACTGAATCAATCAACACCAGCAGCTGTAAAGAGTTCATGCACAACACCAGAGGCTTGTTCAGAGCTACTAATGTTCTGTTGGGACTAAAAAAACGGAGGTAAAACACAAGAAGCAATAGTTCGCATATCATCTTAATAATCTATCAAACACTATCTGCATCTTTATTTGTGTGACTTATGAAAACCAACCTCACATGCATTTTTCCTCATCTCCTCTGCTCTGCAATAACACAACATGCTGGGTCAGTGCTGTTCCACAGAGAAAACCAAGCCCTCTCTCTGCAAAGAGAGAAGCTTTTATATCTGCTGATAGCAGCTAAATAAAAAAAAAAAAACTGGGTTGAAAACAAAGGGTTCTCCTGTATTTTGAGAGCTTTTGAAAAGGGATTTTGCATCGCCGTGTGCAAAGATAGGGGTTTCTTTTCGCATCGCACTGGAGAGATTTTCCACAGCCAATTTCCAGGAATTAGTCATCCCCAGAGTGACTTCCTCAAACATCCATCTGTGAAAAAAGAATGCAAAAAAGAATGGGGAAAAGTTAAACCAGGGTTGCTAGGAGACTAATGCTGATTGGCTGAGGCGCCCAGGTCGGTGTAGAGGTTTTAAAGTTAAGTTAAAATTTGAATGTCAAATCATTCCCAATTTCAAGACTTTTTAATGACATGCCAGGAAAAGTGCTACAGTGACCAAAGTTTTTCTGGTGGCGAATAAAACTCAGCTCTGCCCCTCCCCCACCTGATGCTGTAAAACCTCTAGGTCACTGGCTAATTCTGTTAGCTTCAGACATGCAACCCATCATTCTTAGCAAGGAAAGTGTATTTAAGATACAAGTGGCAAGCTACGAGCAACATATATGTAAAACAGCCAATTGCAGGAACGTCTTGAGCAGATAGCTTGACTAATTATCCAGCTAATCTATGATTAACATACACTTGTTGCACCATAAAGGGATAGCAATAGCAAAAAGGGATACTATTCTGCAGAAGAAGCATTTTAAAACTGTTTACACAAGTTTATCACACTAGCTTAGCATGCCTAAATTGGGTTTTCAGTCGTTGGTCACCTGGACAAAGTACAGCAAAAATATATCAGCAATAATCCTCACTAAACTGAAAAAATATGCTAAAAGGATGCACCAGGCTTTTAGCAATGCCAAGCATAATTGTTGCCATGAGACCGAACATCACCTGGCATCCTGGGTAATCGCAGGTTCTATAATGTTTTACTGCTACATGTAAACATCCTCAAGTTAAATATCTGCCCATAGCAGTCTGAAACGGGATGATAAGAAAGCTCGCAGTGTTTGCCGTGTTTCAGTGACGGGTACAAGTTAATGGGATTTATAAGGAAGTGTCCCAGGATGCAGTTGCAACATAACCTGTGTTGCTCTGCCTCAACACACCCATGGAAAACTGCAGTGTGGGTGTTCCTTCAGTTGTGCACCGCAGGATCTCTGTGTTCCAGCAGATATAAAGAGTGTGTGTGTGTGTGTGTGTGTGTGTGTGTGTGTGTGTGTGGTGGGGGGGAATAATGTCAGACAGCAGCTAAAATCCTCTTCCAATGCAGAAACTTGTCAGGATGGTTTATTTCTGACACCCTCCGTGAACTGTCACAGCCGGGGAAAGCCTTTTACAATAAAAAGGCCCGTGCATATCTTCAGATATGAAGTAGACACGCGCATCGGACCCAGCTTCTGCATGCACTAGCTGCGCTGGCTAGCCTGCTGGTCTGGGTCGCTTGCAGCTGCTCGAACCATCGCTGCGCGTCGGACCAACACCGAGAGAGTGGGAGTCTTCCCAGCTGACACTGTCGAGTCACAAAGCAGCCGAAGAGAGAGCTGTTCGGTGCCGACTGTCGCACAAAGGCTCTCCAGAAATCAAACACCACCCACTTTCTCGCTGGCTAGCTTTAGCCCGAGAGCCGCTATCTCTGACAGCGAGAGGAGGTGGAGGCGGCGGTGGCGGCGGCGGCTAACTCTAGTTAGCCCGAACAAGCGGAATCTTACCCCTTTACGCTGGGATGTCACTGTCCTACAGTGATGGGTGTGAAAACGCGGCGTCGCGACGCCTATTTAAAGACATGGCGAACGGGAATCCCGCGGTGTAATCGTGTCCATCGCCGCTGTTTTTCCAGCCATCCGCCCCGCTTCAGCACCGATCTCAGCCGAGCTCCCCTGGATGCACTGCGCAGGCGCGCTGCTGCTGCCGCCGCTGCTCTGTGGCTGCAGTCGGTCAGAGGATGCACTGGGGCTCCACACGCGCGCGCGCGCACACACACACACACACACACACACACACACACACACACACACACACACACACCCTGTGTGTGTTGCAGACAGGGTCATTACATCTGCGAGCTACACGACATCCGCTCTACTACCACCGCCCCCGAAACACACAACATGGCTTGAAAACAATGCTGCGTTGATTTTTCTCCATCCGACTGCAGGGACAGTCCAAGTCACTTTACTAAATTTAGAAGGTAACTATTTATTTTGAGGGAAACGCATCCTCGGGTTATGAACATTTTTATGTAATAAAATAAGCTTTGAAAATATTCTCACATACAAATAACTCTTGTTTAAAGAGACTATGAAAGCAACTTAGAAATAAAAATAGTTGAAAATTGTTTCATTTTTTTAAATAGTAGCAATAACACTAAAGAACCTTGCGATTAACAAACATGATTAATTAATTACGAATCAAATATGAAAGCAAATCTTAGAGAATTACTCATGATAATAGTTGGGCAAAAAAATCAAAACAAATTATTTTTCTCTTTATATAACAGCTTTTAAAGACAGTGGACGCATTTAATCTGACTCAAAATCAGCAACTTTGAGATAAAATATATTTGCCTCTTATAGTACAACCAATAATTCCAGATATTTTGTACATTTAAAATAAATTCATCCTATAAGGGATGCATGTTAAGTACTTCATCTTTTCTGTGTAATATGAACAAAGTGCACAAAAATCATAACCAAATAATAATCCATCCTTTGTCGCTATGAATAAGCAATTTTACTTTTATAAAAAAAACAACATTTGGAGCTGATTTCCAATCAGTTTCTACACAGGTCTGGCAAAAGCTCTGCTAATCAAAACCGTCTTATTGGTTAATTTAGTCGCATTGTACTGGTTCGTAATGTATTTGAATTAGAAATCTTTATGTTAGTAGCCACAGTAAGGCCTGGTTATGATGTCTGATTGTAGGAACCTGCTGTACAATTCAATACAAATCTGTCACAAATGACGCAGACAGATTTTAATGCTAATTTCAGACGTCACTTAAACACATCAGAGGCTTTTTTTTTGTCGATTTAACCACTTAATCATTAATTAGAATCATAGACTGCTATTTTATTCTTTGTTGGTTTTTTGCTTAGACAAATAGACTGTTGCTCATAATACGTCGGTGGGTATCCCTGTTTTGCCGGTGTTTATTTTGCTTGCTTGCCTTTGTTTTGTGGCTAAATGCCTCATTCATTTCAAGTGAATTTGCTTTGAAAAGCATGAAAATATGTGACATTGTAAAAAAAAAAAGAGAGAAATAATGAAAACCAAAGAAAAAAAACCCCTCAGTTCATTATGTTTACACAAGGGGGCACCAACACTCTGTGCTCTCTCTCTTAAAGCTGCATATACGTTCACCTGCTCTGTTGCAGCAATTCGCCCTCTTATGAACTTTGTTTGGTATAAAAATACAAAAATAATTAGTGCTGCTACTCAGACGGTTAAAGGCAGATCACCAGCTGATTTGAAACCTGCATGTACTTTTAAATCGATTTATTGGTTTCATATTTGTCTGGGTTATTTAGGAATAAGTGAGTCTCTATAGGAACCTTTAACAGAAATGCCTCCCATTCTTAATGTTATAAGTGCAGGACGCCAGTGGATTATGAGGAGGATCATTTTCCTTCTTCCTCTCCATCATGAAGACAGTTTCCCTGGCTTGGAGGTGATGAGGTCAAGAGCTGTAGACTGAGTACTCTGACTTCAAACTGTGAATTGAGAGTAGACATTTTACAAGATGAACACATTAGCACAAACATGACCCTGCACTTTCTCTCATGTCATTTTTTTTACTTTAATTTTTTCTTTGCAACCAACAGGGACTGGGCAAAATGTTCACATTCATTCACCTGCTGTGGGTTTGTGAGAAAGTTGTTTCATGCAAGCAGCAGCAGCATGTTTGAACTGAACCACTTTTGTCAGCATGTAGGGACAACTCCGACCGCCATTATGTTTTTAACTCGCAGTAAAAGTGCTTTGCAGAAAACGCTTTCGATTTTTGCTACATGTTATAAAGACAGTCGGACGGCGATTTGGTGAAAACATCAATAATTGGGCTAAGCGTTTGTTCCGCAGACTGTATGCATAAATGCAGTGAATTTTTAACAGGATGCCACTAATCATCTCTTTTCAATGCAGTGTTTTGGTAAAAATCATTAGGTCAGGGATCATTTGGATGTTATTTTGCACCACCCACATATTTACCACTGCACGCCAACCTCAGCCTTGATGAAAACAGTATCTCCCGAAAACCTCAGCCATAACAATGCTGCTCGCTCAAAAAAAAAAAAAATAAAATAAATGGAATGACCCTGGCTCTAACTCCATAGCACTCTGGTAGGACATTTGCAGGATCCTTGAAAAGTAACTTGACGAGTCTAAACACTGCTACTGCAAAACATCCTTTCACCAGACCCTGCGCAGCATCCCGGAGGAAACGGGATCAAGGTCTGGTGGTTTGAAACATGTTGTTTCAGCACAAAGAGAGCTGGGCTGTATTTATGGTGCCCAAACTCCATAGATAAGAGACAGTTTGAATCCTGCTGAACAATGGCTCTTATATAAACGTACATAGTATCTCTATGAGTTATTTAGCTGAATATTTTAATGCACATTAGATTAATGATTAAAGCCCAAATCTTACTACTATGCACTTCTGTTCAATCCACTGGGAATTTCCGGCTACAGAATATGACTGTGACGCGTTTTTGAACACCTAGTACCCAGGCTTTATCAGACGAGACATAAAACCCTGATCTAATCAATAAATCTAGATCCAGTGATCCCCTGAAGGCTAATTATGTTGCAGTGTGAAAGTTGAAAGGCTGCAGCTAGAAACCCAAAGAGCAAAAAGCGGAAAAGATACATTTAAAATGTATTTAATGCCCTCTTAAATGTATATAAAAAAGAAAGATGAATAAATAATATCTTATACATGCAAAGCTTATCCCAGTTCTTTAGAAATCTCATAAATGTCACCAAAACAGTAAAATATTCAATTTGCGTAAAATAATAACATAAGAGCTGATCGAGGTCCTATAGGCAACGTCTCCCAGTTAAAGAAAGAAAATGTACATTCAGTTAACAGCAGTAATATAGTTGAACAAAACCTTTTTTTTCCCATTGTCATTAAATTATATAAAAACCTTTCTCGATTTAAGTCAGTCGGGATTACCAAATTAATCATATTTGCTAAATGCCGGAAAAATGA